TTTCTACCATATTTCCAGAACCAGGATTGAATTTCAACAATACCTGAGTACAGATGTGCATAGATTAATTTTTAGTAGCAGTCATCGAGTATTATGATATAAAAAGCTTTTTCCACCTCAGAATATATCAATTTTAAATAAAATTTCCCGGTTAGGCACAAAGAAACATGTTCTACCCATTCAGAATTTGGTGATGCATAACCTAATATTTTTTGTACTTGATCATCAGAGGATTGCATTGTCGTGTTACCTTTTTGGAGTCTTGATAAATTGAGTCATTGGTGTTAAACATATAAGACGAAGCTTCTCTCTTTGTGCAAACACATGACATCTTCCGAAATCGTGGGTCAATAATTTGAAATTCCGTCCAGTAGTTTTAAATTCACGTGGATTATGATGATATCGTCACAAAATATAAAATATTAAGACATTTAAAATATGCAGAAAAGTAAAAACAATGATGTAGTCAAGCAGTTTACAGATCCGTCGGCGGCACAAAGTGGTCATATGAACTTTCTTTTTTCAAGTTTGTCTAGTTCCGAAATCATTACAAACTCTGACACGATGTTTTTTAATACTTCAATCATTCGTCCTACAATTTGATCATTCCGTAACGGTTTTCCCAGGAGCTACTCTTTTACAAAGATAGTTCATAGATTCGTGGAAGACGCTAGTTCCCTTGAGACATTCCATGTTCTTGTATTGAACCAGAGATTAACTGTTACTCATGGCGGTCATGAGACTATTGAAAGGTATGTTCACACTAGTTTGTTCTGAGAATATAACAAGTTTTGCGCCCTTTCAACAGGTATCAATTGATTATCATCACTTCTTTGGTGCTAAACGTTATCTACGTGCTCGCCAAAAACCCTTTTGGTTTGAATCTTAATAAAATTCCGGATCTTGTCATGTATTGAATAAAATGTAATCATCTCTTTTTAAAAAAAAATTAAGTAATTTTTCACTTATTTGTATTTATTGAAAAAACTTCAAATTTTTTTAAATTGAATGTAAATTCAAAATGGATTTTTATTTTTAATCTACATTATTCAATCCAATATTAAAAAATTTTAAATTTATAAAAATTATTATAAAAATTTAATCGGTTTTTTTAATAATATATATTAAAAAAAAAACTCTTTTTATAATAAATATTTAATAAAAAAAAAAAAAAAAACTTCAATAATAAATTATATTTGATTACTATATTTAATTATTATATTTAATTATTTTTTTTATATTAACATTTAATTAATTAAATAAATATTCAAAAATATCTAAATAAAATTAAAAATTGATTATAAAATTCAAAATAATATATTTGATTTATAAAAAAATTATAAAATATTTTTCATTGTATTTAAATTATTTTATTAAATAATAAAAATTTTTTAATTTATAAAAATCTGTTTTATATTCTATTGATTTTTAATTAATAAAATTATATATTAAAATAAAAATCATTTTAACTATATTTATTCTTTATATTTTCAAATATATAAATATTAAAAAACAAGTTTTTCTATTTTATATTATATAATAAAAATTTATAAAAATCATTATATAAAAATTGAAAATTTGAAAATTTTTTGTTATTTCTTTTATTTATTCAAAAAACAAATATTCTCAAAAAACTTTTTATTTTTATAATAATATATTTTCTTTAATAATACTGGTTTTTTAATTAACAAAATAAATAATAATATAAAAGTTAAAATATATTATAATAGTTTAAATAATAAATTATATTTTAATTAAAAAAGAAATTATAAAAAACATAAATTTAAAAAAATAATTATTTTATTAATTTAAAAATAAAAATATAATTTAAATTTTTATAAAGATAAAAAGATTTTCTTTAAATAATTATTTTTTTATTATATAAATATTTTATAAAAATATATAAATTATTATTGATTTTTTAAAAAAATTTTATATATTATAAATATAAAAGTATTATAATAAATATTATATATAAACCTATAGATCTATAGTATAGTGAATAATGCTTCCAGATCTTTAAATGCATATCTCTAGTTCAATACTGTTACACTTGATTTTCACTCAAGATTTTCAATATCACTTGTTTAATTTTTACTAGCATTAATCCTTGAAATGTTAACTGTTCTAGAATAGTTTTGTATTACAAATCTGTTACTGTACCTTCGGCATCTATTGTATCTATTGCACATTTACCATTTCTAGAATATTTCTATTTTATTTTATCTTTACTTCCTATATTATCTTTGCCAAAGTATTTATTTATATAAATG